CTCCCGAGGAGGGCCTGCCCTTTACCCGCTCGGGCACCCGCGAGAGATACGGACCCTGCTTCCTCTTGTCCACCGGGGAGTACGCGTGCCCGCCTGGTGGAGGAATGAGAAAGGGTATGTAGAGAAGGCTGGAGCTCTCTGCATCGGCCGGGCCCGCCTTGCCTTGCTCCTGCAGATGGGTGGGCAGGGAGGCGGGCAAGGGGCGCTGAGGGGTAGAGAGGCACACTGAGGGGGCGAGGATTGGGGGAGTCTCCCAGGGTTGGCCTCTGGAGGTCAGAGTTCTTTCTCCAAGGGGGATGGATGGCAGGCCGGCAGAGAGGAGCTGAGGCCCAGGCATCTGTAGGTTGGTATTCAGAGAAGTGAGAGAAAGTGGCTTGACCCAGGGTGGATGACCACGGGAGGTAAACCCAAGCCAAGGGGGTATCCAAGGAGACGGGGGCGTCTCGGCTCCCTCAGACTTCTCCAGTGGGGCAGAGCATGTAGAAAAGGTGGCGTGTTCTCTCCCAGCCTTTAGCTGTGGAGGACCGTTGGCTTGGCCACCACCCTGGGAATTTAGTCTGAGGTTGTGCTATGGAAGAGGCATCCTTTACAGAGGATGTGCAGGCCAGTGGAAAGGGAGGCTCCATAGAGAGGTGACTTTGGAGCTGGGAGGTCAGCTGTGTGCTAGTCAGAGTACTGAGAGTGGTAGCCAGAGAACTTGCCGAGACCAGGTGTGTCACCAGGACTTTGCATAGCCCCACTCATGGCCAGAGCACATTACTGGCCGCCCCAGCCGTGGCCAGCCCCACTGTGGTGAAGGCTGAGACCTTGCAGTCAGGTGGTCTTGCAGTCAGGGCTTTGGAGAGGGTTAGCATGGGCTGGTCAAGGCCTGGGGAAGACCTCACAGGGCTGCAGGCACTGCCCTGGGCCTTTCTCAGTGCAGCACGCTAGCCGGGAGCTCACGCGTGTTCCCGTGCACCTCACATGCTCATGGGGATGCATGGTGACAGGGTGTGCCAGGCGCAAGTCAGGTTCTGAGAGTAACGGCTGGTGTGGAGTCTGTAGCCTTGGTCAGCGGTGCTAACGTTAGTTCAGCCAGCCGCCAGCAGGAGCTTAGACGTCAAGAATCAAACGCAGGTCTAGAAGAGGAGAGGTAGCCTAGATGAGATGAGGATTGCTGCGCGACTGCTTAGTTGAGGCCGCTGGTCCTGGCTGGCCTCTGCTTGTCCGAGCTGCCGAGGCCCCGGACCTCAGTGCGGCGAGCTGCTCCCTGCATGCAGCTGCATGGCGGAGGGCTACCAGCCTTCGGAGGGCCCCATCCTTGGCATGGATGGGTCTGCTGCTCTCTTTGCAACTGGCTTCCTCCTAAGTATCGCCTCTAGAATGCCCAGGAGCAGGGCTACCCTGCAGAATAGGGGAACCTGTCTCCATGGCTGTGCCCTGCCCGTGATCCCATGGGCTGCCTGGCTCCTTTGTCTCGAATGCCGGGTCGGTCGGTGTGGGTCGGTGTGGCCTGCGAGAGCAGAGCGTCTCTACTGCGCTTCCCGAAGTTGAGGGGAGGTGGGCCAGAAGCACCCCATTTCCTAGTAGTTCTAGGGAGTTGAGTGCAACCCCCATCCACAGGTGATCCCCAGTCTCAGACACCCCTCCACCCCCCGGGCTTGGGTGCTGGACTCTGGGAGGCGCCGAGGGTGAAGGCCCCACCTGTGTCCATCCAGCCCGGCTCTCGCGACTCCTGAGAGGGACAAGAACTTGCTTTGCTCTGGCTGATTCAGAGCCCTTTAGGTCTGCAGGTGCCCAGCAGAAGTAGGGACCTCAGCCGTCCTCCCAAGGAGGGACGAGAAAGAGGCTGCTAGGCTGACCGCTGCATGGGAGACAAGCCATGGAGAACCTGCCTGCCTCTGCATGCGGCTGTTCGCTCTCCTCTTCTTCCTTAACGACTAAGTGCCAAGCGAGCGAGCGAGCGGGAGGGGAAGGCAAGAAGAGGAGCTCAAGTGTTAATTGTATTCTCTACATACAGATCTTTGCAAAGAAAGCCCTGTCATTGCTAAGTATATGCCGACAGAGGCTGTGAGAGTGACTTGACCCTGCGGCTTGGCCGAGGACACTGGTGGCTATTAAGCATCTGGGTGGACCTGCAGCCCCTCCTCACCCTCGGACAGAGTAAATTCACGCCATGCAGGTTTGCCGGACGAGTCCGAGTGGCCCAGGCATTGCACTAAGACGGACGTAGCTTTTTCTACGGCCAATGGGAACAGGCCGCAGAGGATTGCCCTTCTTTCTTTTCATTTTTTTTTTAGAAGTTACCTTTTATTTGGGGGGGTGAAGGGGAGCCTTAGCATGACTTGCATGAAGTTAAACAGAAAACCCAGCTAACCCAAACCCACCAGCCCCCCGCTGTGACTGTCTGATTACCCTAACCACCACCAAGAATGGAGAGAAAAGCAAGAATCCTTTATTTTCTTCCAGCACTCTTAATTTTGACACATGGTGTCAGAGCCAAACTGTAATGGCACTCAGTATATTTCCAGGAGGGGGGGGGGGAGGGAAGAAGGCCGGGGCCGGGCAATGAGTCGCTTTTTGTACACAAGACCCAGAGGAAAGGTTTCAAAAGGCAGGCAGTCAGTCATCGGTCATATTGACCTCACCTTCGTAGCTCATCTCTTACTCGGAAAACTGAGAACTTTGCTCCAAGTAGGATCGCGGAAACTCACACTGCCACCCTCTTCCATCTCTGTATGGCATGCTTGCGACCCAGCGGACGACTCCCCCAGATCCCAACAGCGGCTAGTTTAGGTTGATTCTCTCATCTCGGTGTGTGGAACCAGTGTGACCGAGTTTCATAACGAATTGCTCATAGTTACACCTATGGATTTTTCCAATGTCATTATAAAGCCAGGATGTAGCGTACCTCCAGTTCAGGACCACCAGAGGGGGCCTCCCCTCCACCCTCATTAAGGCACAACCTGGCATTGTATGCAATTTAGTACTTCAGAGTTTAAAAAAAAAAAACAAAACTGCATGCCCAATGTTATGCAAAGAGATCCGAGCATGAAATAAATTTTGTAACATGGTTTCTGTCTAGTCTAAAGCAGATTTGTTTTTCTGAAGCAATCGGAGGTTTGCAGAGACACGCTCCTGCATCTCGAATAAATATAGTATTTTCCCAACAGAAACAGAGGACAGTAGCTTGGCTTTGGTCTGATTCTAAAATTAGTGTGTGTGGGGGGAAGGATGATATTTTTGAAAAACACATGCTTGAGTTGAAAAAAAAAATTGCAACATCTCGAGCTTTCACTGCAACATTTCCTGGAAAGACAGCAACCTCCCCTCACTGGGCCCTGGCCCTGGAAATAAAGAGCTGACTTTTGATCTGAAGAAGTGAGTTGAGTTTTTATTGCCTCCAGGCTGTATCTCCATTCTGTTGTTGTATGGCTGAGCCAATCCTGGGCGTGGCTACTACTGTACTCATCTGAACTGAGGTGTCCCTGGGCTCTGAGGATGCTGTCCCCTGCAGGGTGGGGCTGCAGATCCTGGTGTGTCAAGGGAAGAAAGCAGCTGCTCAGAGGTGAATGAAGACCTGTCATAACGCCTAGCCCATGCTCTGTGGGGCTCGCCTGATACCGTCCTGTCACTTGTCTTGGTGGGTCCTTGCATGAGGCCATGTCAGAGCAGCTAGCTGCCCTGAGTAGCCATGACCACCTCCCTGCTGGGACTACTGTCGGGCCTGACGGTCTGGGTGCCCTGGGCAGGTTGCCCAGGTAGTCTAGAGACTACCTCATGAGTACTCTCTTAGTCTGGGCACCCTCGGAGAGAGCAGTCAGTTCTGAGAATCTTCATTCAAAGGTTTGGGAACGGAGTCAAATAGAGGATCGGATCTTTCCTCATCCATTAGTAATTCCAGAATTTTGACTGGAAAGAGACCCCAAAGACTATAGAATCAACCCCTGAGCATTTCACGTAGCACGCTGAAGCTCAGGCCACCAGCACAAAGGTGTCAGCTCCCTCTGGTTTCAGCCCCTTTGTCACCTCCCAGCACAGCCTGAGTCTGTGACCCCGTGGGTAGGTGGGACCTTGAATGTGGGTGCCGAAGTTTACCTGCTAGTTTCTTACCTCTGTGAGGACTTGCCTCAACATCCGGAGATGCCCGGTGGAGTGCAAGAATCCAGGGGTTGGGGCTGGTAGAACCTCTGCAACCATCCAGGAGAGCCTGTCCAGCCAGCTCAAAGCTAAGGGCAGGAACCACTGTCTTAGGATGCCCGAGTGACAGCCCAGGCTGCTGCCCAAGGTCAGTGTTGACGTGAGCCAGGGATCTACTAGATGAATTTGCTGAATCCCACAAAGCCACCTGGAATAGAGGCTTGTGGGAACACCACAGCTAGAGAGGATCGACTAGGTAGAGGGTACATCTTACAAACATCGCCGGGTGACAGCCCAGAACAGTCCAATTACAGCCATGCTGCCACAAAGCCCAGGGAGACGTGAATTCCAGGGCAGAAGCTGGGCGGTCTGACTCCTACATTGAGATTAGGCTGTTTGAGCTAAGGACTTTCCGGGGCTGGTCCTTGGTGGTGAGACTGTGCTGTGTGGATTCCGAATCCAGGACTCTTAGGATCCGGTCTCCTGTCCTCCCTCCTGGAGTGCCATAGGCGTGAAGGGGCCACTTCGTGCTGTGGTCCAGATCTCTCCCGATTCCCAGCTGGCCAAGCCCACTGGAGCTGAAGCACCCTGCTGCCCTGTGGATGGAGCTTACGCTCCCTCCATTTTCCAGAAGCCACACCCACCTCTGTGCCCCTCAGGAGACAGCTCTGAACTTAGCAGTTGGACTTAGCCCTTCTCTGTGAACTCCCACGGCTCACTGCCAATGACCACCAAGTCACCTCACCCAGAGCAGACAATGCCTGGGGCGTGGTGAGAAGGACTTATTCTGAGTCACAAGCCGGGATTCACTCCCTAAGCACCATGTCACCATCTTAGTTAGGTTTCTATTGCTGCAATGAAACACGATGACCAAAAACGAGTTGAGAAGGAAAGACTTTATTCAGCTCACACTTCCAGATCACTGTTCATCACTGGAGGAAGTCAGGACAGGAATGCCAGGAGGCTGGAGCCTGGAGGCAGGAGCTGAGGCAGGGGCCATGGAAGGCTGTTTACTGGCTTCCTCCTCACAGTTTCGCCTGCTTTCTTATAGAACCCAGGACCAGCATCCAGGGATGGCCCCATCTCCATGGGGCTGGGCCCTCCCCATCAATCATTAATTAAGAAAATGCCCAACAGGCTGGCTGGCAGCCAACCTTACGGAGGCATTTTCTCACCTGAGGTTCTTGTCTTAGATGACTGTAGCTTGTGTCAAGAAAGGAAACCAGACAGCCCACCATCCACGGTTACTCACAGGCCATCATGGCCGGGGTGAAAGATGTGTCAAGGGAAGATGGGTCCCTGTGGCCAGAAGGGGAGAACGGTGCGGGAATGTGGAGCCCTCAACACCCACTCCAGGGCGGCCAAAGCCCCACAAGCACACAGTGGAGGCATTTCCTCCTCCTCCTGAGGGACAGGGGCAGGGAATGCAGGCAAAATTATTCATTGAAAACATAATTTGTTTTTTGAAAAATGAGCTCTTTTCTCAGGTTGGTTCCTGTGACCCTAAGGAGCCTAACCAGGTGGTGAAGCGACACTTCACATGTGCACGAGACTTGTAGACAGGCTGTAAAAAGCCGTAAACAGAATAGAGTGGAGAGGATAAGAATGGGATCTCAGGGCCCACTCAGTCGACCCCTACTCCACAGTGATCCCCGGAACATTGAGAAAATCCTCCATTACAGGTTGCTTAGTTCTAGAGTTGACAAATTGCTGGCTCCTCCATGGGCTGCCAGGAAAGGGAGCTTGGACATCTTAGAAAGACAAATAGCCACCAAAGGCTGCAGGCCAAAACAAAATCTGGACTTATCAACTATCTCTGGTAAGTGCCTTCACCCATCAGAACCATGCAGAGCGAGGAGAAATGCCTCTGTCCACACTGTCATCAGGAAGGAAGGGCAGAATGAGGCAGCGGAGGTGAAGTGTTGGAAAGGAAACCATTCCTTCCTCTGCCTGCTTCTGGAAGGATCTGGCCTACCTGTAGAAATCTGAGATTCGCGATCAAAGGACTTGTGGCCTACAAGCTGATCCTGTCCACGATGCCTGCAAACAAGGCACTGGGCTCAGTGACAGAAGCTCAGGGAGCCGAGTTCTCCAGCGCTTACTGGAGGGGATAAGAGGAGCGTGCTCTGGGCAAGATGGTATTGGTTCCTTGTGACTGGAAACAGGTCACGTGGGAATGATTTTCTGGCCTGGTTGCTGCCAACCACTCGGCCTACAGGACAGTAACCCTGAGCTTGCTCCGGTATGGCTTACCCCTCGGTGAGCCATCTCTGCGGGCGTGGTCATGCTGGCAAGAGCAGATCAGAGGACAAATGCCGCCTCTGGCATCCTGGTTCGGGGGTTGATTGTGCAGAACAGGGCATACTTCTTGGGCATCCTTCCAGTCTAAAAGGAAGACTTGGTGTGCTGTGCTGGAGGCAGACTGCGGATGCGGGCGGCGTCCAGGCTGTGGAGGATGGAACTGACGTCCTCCGAGCCTGAGCTGAACCTATACACTCAGCCACTTCTCATCACACCCTTTGCTAGCTGAGGGCTCTGGCTGGGTCCCCCTGGACCAGGCATTCGGTGTGTGACCTTGAGATGGTCCAGTCCCCCCTTCCCAGTCTCCATTTTCTCCTGATGAGCAACAAGAATGGCTGAATGAGATCAGCAGTTTCTACACTTTCTTAAGGTCCCACTTATCGAATACAATCTCATGCAGAGCACAACACACCACGTAACAACCAAACAACACCGCCTGAAATAACCGGTAGCTGGGTAAGCTGCTTGCTGTCTACCTGGCCCCGTTACCAGTCTGCAAGGAGGTGCCTGAAGCTCTGAAGAATGCAGGGTGTTGGTTTTCGTTTTGTTTGTTTGTTTGTTGGTATTGTTCCTTTTTGAGACAGGGTCTCATTCTGTAAGCCTTGTCTGGCCTGGAACTCACTGTGTAGACCAGGCTGGCCTTGAACTCAGAGGTCCATCTAGCTCTGTACCCATGTGGCAGTATTAAAGGCGTGTGACACTATACCAGGCTCTGAGGAATGTAGTTTGGAGGCCTCTAGGCTCTATGGTGATGGAAGGTCCCCAACTTTAATGCCCCAGAATTCTGTAACCTCTGGAAGATGGTGGAGCCGTCTTCCCAGCTCAGAGAGTTCACAATTCACCTACTACAGTAGCCCCAAATTCTGCCTGGTTGGAGGACAACTTATACACGTTATGGGGGTTTTTCCAGCTTCAGACACCCCCGTCTGCACTTGGGTCTCCCCAGAAGACTTGGGTTCTCTCCACAGACTCCATTCTTCCCACCGACCCCCAAGCCTTTGCTTGGGCCTGAGCATAAAGACCTGAGTCTTTAGGCAGAGTACCTGGGTACCTCAGCAGGCAAGCTATGGACTCTGGATAGAAAATAAGCCCTCAGGTTAGAGGTCAGACATTCGAAGCTCTGAACATGAAGCCTCTGTCTTCACACAGCCACGGGGGCCTCGACCCCTCCTTGCTGATGTTTTAACGCTGCATGTTCTTTAGTGAGGATCCCCTCATGCGCATCTGCCCAGTAGAAAGGCTGTCCTCGCCATAGCTCGGACATCTCTGAGCACTGGGCAACGGCTCCCCGCTGTTCTGGCCAGCAGTTCTACCCAGCCCTCAGCGCTTGTCGAGAGCCCACTCCAGCTGACAGGGGCATTACTGACCCCATAACCTAACAGAAGGATTCTCCAGGAATCTTTTGTTGGGACAAGCCACTTTATTACAGGTTCTTTCTTAGGGTCCACTGTTTCTCATCCTGTCAGAATTGCTTTGGATTGAAGTTACGGATTGTCTCTCCTTCCAGTTTCTCTCTCTATCCACGGCGTCCTGAGACTCAGGGTTTTCTGTGGCATCTGGGAATGGGGAGGTGACCTGGGGATCCCGGCATGGCACAGGGTGCGCTGGCAGCTGACACACGGCGAAGGAGTGGCCGGCTCCGCAGCCCACGAGGAGGAGTCCCGACAGTGAGAGCACGGGAGTTGGGGTGCAGATGCTGGCCTCGGTGCCATCCCCACACATGCCATGTTCGTTCCAGCCCCACGAACAGCACCTGCCACCTGTGGAAGAGAGGGCACAGGCATCACTGTGGTGCCCCATCCACAGAGCAAGAAACCAAAGCTGTGGTGGACAGGGTGTGCTCCTGGCCCCTCTACCTGCCCCCACCTCCAGTCAGTGTCATCTGTCACCCTCTGGCTGTTCACGCTCCAGTTGTGGCTTTCCTCCTCAGTTCTTCACCCTCACAGGTGACTGGCCACCAAGCCCTGCTCGCTCCACCCCTAAGAACAGCTCTGGTGTCCCCCACGGCCCTCCACCTCTGCTGCTCCTCTGGCCCAGGCCACCAGCTTCTTAGTCGGCCTGCAGCCGCTCCCACGTACTGTAACAATTACACACCTATAACCCCAGCTCTTGAGATGCTACAAGGGTGCTGAGCCCCAGACCTGCTTAGGCTACACAGAGAAACTCTGCTTCAGCCACCTGCTTAAAAACACTGCTTGAAAACCCGAACTACCTTAGCATGTAGAAAAGCATGGAAAACAATGTATGAGACCCTAACTTAAGTTCAGAGCACTAGTTATCATTTTTCTGTAAGTACTTCAAGCCTCTCCTTAAAAAAAAAAAATCATGTTTAAGTCTGACCTCCATCGAGGTCTCCACCCTGGCAATAACCACTATTTTGAAGCCAATGTCCATTACTTTTGTGCTTGTATGTTTGTACGCACATGTACGTATGCCCTTCAACACTATGTGTCAGTTTTTCTCAAGGACTTGGGAAAGCACGTCACTGGTACATATCTTTCCTCTGCTTTAGAAGCTTACCATAGACTAGATCGTGACCAGCCTCTCATTGTGAAGTCATACTCCACTGAGGCGTGTTCTTGGGAGGGCTAGTCCTTAGTAAGCGCTGTTGCCCCTGGGCTACGCACATTAGCATTCGATATGACGCACAACAGCCCCCAATGCGGCTGCTGTTCCAAACAGCACTGCGGTGAACACCTTCCAGACGGGTCCCTCTGTAGCTCTGTGTCTCTCTGCTGGGGACACCCCCTTAGCTTGCTTTCCTGTTAGTGGGAGACAGCTCTGCTTTATGAGTCCGCACCAAGTCTTGGGTTCTCTGGATCACACGTTCACACTCTGAGCTTTTTCTTGTGGAGAACTTAGTGCATTTCCCTTGCTCTACACACTGCAAATGTCTTCTCCCAGAAGCCTGGGGTATGTCAGCTCACTTTGCTTACTGAGTCTTTTGCTGAACAATTTATTTATAGAGGCTGCCTAATTGCACATTATGAGAATTAAACCATTTACTTAGCCTGCTGGCCATTACCAGAGGCTCAGGTTGTTTCTAGTTTTCTACTTTCCTACAGCATTGCATATACACCTCTGAGCATGAATCTCTGTCGCTCCCTCTAATTACCCTCTCAAATTAGACTTGTAGGACGGGACTCCTGGCCAATGGGCACAGCCGCCTTGCAGGCCCCTGAGGCCTGCATGACTGTCAGGACGCTCTTCAGGGAAGCCATCTGGATGCGGCCCGTGAGCACCTCTGTCCCCTCACACAGCGTCAGTGTTCACTAGGATCATGGGCTTTAAAAACCTTTTTCAATTTAAATTCAAAATGGTGTCTCGCTGTTTAATGTGTACTTCGATTACCAATGAAATTGGCAAACTTAAACCCTGCGCTTCCTGGGTACTCTTCTCTCCTCTGTTGTACTGTTTCCCACAGGCCTCCCCACCTCAGCTAATAATCCCCCACAGCTCCAGTTAATATAAAAAAAAGCTCAAGGGCTCAAATCCAAAAGCTAGCTGACCTGCTGCTTTTTGTTTGTTTGTTTTCAGTTTGACTTAAAATTTGATCTCGATCTTTCAACAGACATGTATTTATGGCTGTATTTGGTGTGGGGGGCAGGTGCTCATGAACTTACTATAAAGCCAAGATAATCTTGAACCTCCACCCTCCTATCTCCACTTCCCAAGTACGGGAGTTCAGGTGTGCCGGCACACCTAGCAGGTTCACTGGTCTTTTACATTCAGTTTCCTCAGCAGCACATAAACACTGAAAGCTCATCTTTATTAGAAGACACTCCCGACTTCCCATGATCCGATGCTTAAAGAGTAGACCAAAAATTTATTTTACAGATCATTGTTTTGAGAGAGGGAGGCCAAATGGGCCTAAGGGGACAGCCCCCGGGGCTCTACTTCCTTGGGAGGAAGGCAATACTTGTCAGGGGCTCAGGGTTGGGGAAATACATGTCTTCAGGCTGACTGGCATGGCAAGGGAGCACATGGAGAAACCATGATTCTCCTTCGCTTCCCTTGGTTGGGCAGGACTTCACCAGGCTGAGCAGGAGCAGGAGAGAAGGTGGAAGAGCTCAGGACCTTAGGGCCCAGCTTGGCACCTTCATGGGCCAAGAGCCTGGCCGTGGTAAGGGGCACAGCTGACTGTCAGCAGGGGTCGGGGGGGGGAACAGGGATGGGAATGGGAGGAAGACAGAGCTGACCTCGCCACGGGACACAGCACAATGGGCAGCTGGCATGTTCTTCTCCTCCTGCCAAGGGGAAGTTGCGCTGAGGAAGCCACACTCAGGGCTGAGCAGATGAGGCCCAGAGCCAGGACATTCATGCCTGGGTGGAAAAGCCTGGCAAAGGCCCAGACATCTCTTCCCCGGTACTCTAAGGAGAGGTCACTCGAGTTGTATGTGTTATCTGCTTAGGTTGGAACAGCCCAGATAGGGAGCCACATTTCATGGATGGTGCTCATCTTCCAGGATAAGGCTGAGCATCTAGGATGTGAGAGGGCTCCCAACTCCACGGTGAACTCCACACACTGTCCACCAGGCTCCACTGAACTTATTCCTACAGACGTACTTTAGATGTGAGGGTCCCACGCTGTGCTGCCCCACACTCTGTCCTGTGTGTGTGCGCACGTGTGTGCTCCCTCCCACCCTTACATTTTGAGGCAGAGGCTCTTGCTGAACCTGGAGCTTACTGGCTAGCAAGTGCAGGGATCTTCTTGTCACCTCCCTGTGCTAGGTCACAGGTGTGTGCTACCATGCCTGTTATTTTCTGTGCATGCTAAGGTCCTCCAGCTTGTACAGCAAAGCACGGACTTTGTCCACGAGCCATCTCCCAGCCCCAACATTCTCTTCTGATAATCCCTTGACGATCATTTGAGAATGGCTTGTGAGCTGGTGAGATGGCTCCACAGTTAAGAGCATTTGTTGCTCTTGCAGAGGACCTGTGTTCAGTTCCCAGCATCCACATGGTGATTCACAATCATCTGTACCTCCAGTTCCAGGGACTCGCGTCTAACACCGTCTTCTGATCTTTGTGGGCACCAGGCACGTACATGGCACACATACATGCATGCATGCAAGCACATGCAAATGAAGTAAATACATCCAAACTTTTATTTTCAAACAAAAGAATGGATATGCCATCATACAAAAGCAGGTCCAGGTGGCAGCCACTAGTAGTTTGCCAACTGCTGCCCCCACCTCATCTAGAGGATGCAATTTACTATGGATTGTGCTAGGCTCTCCTGGCATCCCTAGCATGCGGTAGAGTTATGATGGCTCCCAGGTCAGAAGTTCTGAGTTCTCTCTATGCAGCATGTCTCACTTCTGCTGAGTCTGATCAAGCTCAAGACATAGATGCAGCTACACTACAGGCTGATGGCTCTGAGAAGCAGCCCTGACCTGTCACTGTTGCCCACAGTGTGGAGTCTTCCACCAGGGTTCACACTTTTACAGCAGCGCTGTCTGTGAGCTGAGGAAGCCTGGAAGAAGAGCAGTTTGGGGGAGAAGAGGAGGAGCTGTTTGGAACAGTCTAAGATGGAGGTGCCAAGGGCAGGGCGTGCTGGTGCACATCTTTAATCCCAGTGCTTGGGAGGCAGAAGCAGGTGGGTCTCTGTGTGTTCGAGGCCCGTCTATTGTAAATAGTGAGTCCAAAGACAGCCAGGACTACAAAAAGGCTATAGAGGAATAAATAAAGAAATGGATGGATGGATGGATCGATGGATGGATGGATGGACAAATGAGTGAACGGCAGAGGTCCCTGCCGGACAGACATGAAGGAACACATTCTCCAGAGAGAGCTCTTTGGCAGGCCTGCCGTCCAAGAGAGAAACAGCAGGAAGCATGAGGAGCCAGCAGCGAGGAGGAGGAGGAACGGCAGTGAGGAGCCTGTGCTAAGTTGCCAGCACAGTTCATACTGGCCCTGAGCCTCTTTAAGTCAGTTTCTGGTTTTACCTTTTCGTGAACAAAGTGAATGTCTTGGATTTACAATACTACAGGGAAAAATACATACACTTTTCTTTGTGACTATCCTTTCTGTCACACAAACTGTGTAATTAAAAGGACATTTGTCATCGTGTGTGGCTATAAGCCCCGGCCCGAGGAAGCTCTGCGCTTCCTCCCGTGAGTAGCTGGGCTGCTGACATGAGCAAGCCTGACTGCCCTCTCCTGGACCGGTGTCATAGGAGAAGCCGCATGCCTGGAAGGTGTGATAGTCAGAAGGGAAGTGCTGAGACCCTGCGGCCAGGGCTCCTGGGGGATACGGACTACTTCCTGGGAGCTTGAGGTGGTTTTCTTCTGACCGTGCAACAGCCCACCAGAACCTTTTTGTTTCTGCTAGAATGCAAAGCTCCAAGGAAGCAAAACCTGGATTTTATTCAACAGCTTTAGCACAAAACTAAAAAAACTTATATATCAGAAAAGATGCTCAGTAAATATTTGTTTCTGGTATAAACAGTTCCTAAATGTCAATTGCCCCTAGAGTGGCTCAAAGTTCATTCACTTTGATGGAAGACAGGGCAGGCCAACGAAAGCAATCCTCACCCAAGACGCTGTTGTGTGTGCTCGTGCATGGCATGCGTGTGTGCATGCATATGGGAGGATGGAGATATCAGAGCAAGGATAGACCAGCTCTGTGTGTAGCTCTAGGTCTCCTGTTGTAGCAGGCCTGTCCAGGACCACGTCACTGTAGCTCTCAGAATGACTTGCCTGTATAGACTGACCCAACCCTGCCCCCTGGGACAAGGAGGACCACCGGGTACCTAGTT